CACCAGCAAAATGTTCTTTTTGTATTATTCTCACTGCTAAACACTTAAGCCTTATTTCCAGTTTGGTGTAACTCATTTCCCACCATAGGATGTTTTTTTGTTCTTTGTCTGACACCAGACCCCTGCTGCCCAGGTACATTCACACACAATGATCCAACTCTTCCCTAGCAAATGGGTGTCCAGAGGCTCTGGCTGTAACACACACTTTCCAAACTTTCAACCATTCTCAGGATTTTTCTGATGTTTCAACATCTTTATGTTTTAACATCCTGTTTAAAGGATAACCGTAAAAACTCTGTGTAATAATCCTGTGTTGGCTGCAGCATCATGAAACAGAGATTATCACTACCCAGTGCTTCCAGCGCTCCTCTCCTGACATGTGTAAGATTGTTTAACCACGATTTGGACTTGTGTCCCCTCTTGCAGGATCTTTGGGACTCAGCCTTGAGGAGGAGGGGACCTTCCTCGGACCTCTTGAGCAGGAGAGGAGTCTGCAGGGAGGGGAGCAGCCCGAGGGCAGCCCCTCTTTGCCAGCATGGCTACATGAGAGAAGAAAACCCACCCAAAGGCTCTTGCACAGCTTAGAAACCATTTTCCCCTTGTACAGTGGGACCTGTTCCTTCACCCTGAGGAGCTGGACCCTTTCAGCTGGAAATGCTGTTGGCTGCTCAGGGGGGAAGCCAACGCCTCAGCTGGCTCCTGACACCTCTGTCCAACAGCAAGGTTGGAGCAGGGAGGGTGGAGAGGCTTGCAGGCAGCATGCAGAACAATATCACATAACTGCCAAGATGGGACGCTAAACCCCCTTCCACTTCCCTCACTCATCACATCTGACAATACAATAATTTTGCCTAAGAGCTAGAAACCATTTTCAACTAATATTATTTGTTATCTTCGGCAATAGCATTATCCTAATATCCAGAGAGTCAGGCAGCTGCCTTGTACAAGGCATTGCATTCCCATAATGTGTTTTCTGCTCCAAACCTTCGTCTCAGTTTTATATGAAACAAAAAATAGATGAGAATTACATCAAGCAGAAGAAGCTGCAAGCTCTGAGCACCAGTTTTCCAGGCTTGTGTGGGCTCAGCTTCTTTTTCTCCTCGTTACTTCACCACATCTGCAGGTAGTGAAGGCCCCCCCCCAGTCCCACCTTATGGTGAGCAAATCTAAATTGTCCTGCTCCAGTTTGCCTAAATTACACACAAAAATGCTTTAGCAATGTGGAAATGCACACCTCTGCTGGTTCTTTGCTGTTGAGAAACTCGGTTTCCATGTTTTTGAAGGAAATCCGTTTGCTCTGACATCGTTTGGTATTGGATGTGACTGACACAGTTGTTTTCAGAAACAGGTGGGTCAGAAAAAATAGTTTATTTGCTTTGATTTGCAAATGCTCTTAGAGCTTGTGAGAACTTTTGTCATTGCTGCTCCTGCTTTCGACAGAGCTGAGACAAAGTGTTATTTTTGTACCTTGGAGTGTGGATTATTTATAGAGACAGCCTGGGCTCTGCCAGCACACCGTGATTGCACTGGGTGAGCGAAATAAGGAGTGACATTCAGAGATGCTGCCTCCTGATAATAATACGAAGCATTCAGATGAAAATATTACTTATCAGCACTCATGACGGAAACACAGGTTTATAAATTGCTACAGTTTCACTGAGTTTACTGAGAACCTACCAGGGCAAGAGGATAATTTATAACAATAATAATAATAAAGTGGTATTTGTTCAACAGAGAAGAGAGGTGAGTCCTCATGCTTAAGATGACTGCAGCAATAGCATTTTTTTTTAGCCATGCATAGTTCTGCAAAAGCCAAAGCATTTACAGGGTTGTTTCTCTGAGAGAGAGCAAGCAATTCCTCCTCCTCTCTCCTACCATCAAAGCACCTGGGAACTCTGCCAGGGGAATGCTAACATGTCTCAGTTCTCCCTTTGAGGCAGTTTTTGTGGTGTCAGATGTAACGGTGAAGAAATGGTCAGAGCACGTGGAGAAGCCTGCAGCAGTGAGCTGGCTGGGCATGGGCAGTGCCAGGCAACACCCCTGCTGCCAAGAAAACCCCACCCACGGCTGTGCTCTGCCTCTGGATCGCTCTGCTCTCACCCTGATTACCCATTACGTTCACTAATCCTTCTCTAATGCATAATTGCTCCGTGTTCTTGTACTTGACGGAAATTCTGGATTAGTTTGATTAACACCACTTTGCAGCCATTGAGGTATGCTCAGGAGCTTTAAAGCTTACACTGCATTGTGAAAACCCAGAGTTATTTGTTCTCTTCCAGGAGGTTCCTGGTCTCCAGATTCTGCCCTGTGACCACCAGACATTATCTTAGCCCAGCCCTTCCCCCTTTCAGTTTAAAGTTAATCCCTGCAACCAAACTGTGATGCTACATCTGTTCATGTCTGTAAGAAACCTCCTGAACACAGTGAGTTTTAATGACGTGGCAACAGTCACTGTTCTGCTCCACTGGCTGCCTGTGCAGGCCACTGCCCTGGGAAAAAGAGGAATGATCTGTGCCTGACTGCAGCCACTCCACCAGGGACCAACGTGTTCCTCGGTGCTGTAACACCCACTTCAACCATTCAGTTGCTTCAAACGTGAGTCCAGCCAGTGTAAAGATAATTTTGACATCAGCCCTTTAAAACACTTGCTTGGGAATACACATTGTTGTTACTAAATGCTTCCTGGCAGGTGGTTGGGATTGACCTGTCCCTTCACCTCCCTCTCGCTCCGAGTCCTCCAAAGCACCACGAGAGTTTCCATCCTCTGCTGTTCCTGCAGGAATGCACCTACAAGGGGCCGGTGCATCCACCACTAGGTACTCAAAACTGAGTGACATGGAAAGCTCCACTGAATTACTGGATACACCACAATAAATGGCATGCTCAGGTCTTTCAGCCCGAGCAGGAAACTGGTTCCTGCATGAATAACACGGGGACAAGCTGGTGCCCAGGGTGGGTGCCAGGGGTGCCAGCTCTCCCTGTCTTCACAGGATCACACAGTCACAGGAGGGGATGGGTTGAGGGGATCTTAAAGCTCATCCCGTTCCACCCCCTGCCATGGGCAGGGACACCT